TTGCTCACCCCCCAAAGTTAAAAGAAATGCACTGTATAGAGTAGACGAATTGAATAGTGAATATAGTGTGTGTGTGTGTGTGTGTGTGTGTGTGTGTGTGTGTGTGTGTGTGTGTGTGTGTGTGTGTGTGAATGAGAGTGTATGGGTGTTTCCCATTGTTGGGTTGCGGCTGGAAGGGCATCTGCTGCTTAAAACATATGCTGGATAAGTTGGCGGTTCATTCCGCTTTGGCGCCCCCAGATTAATAAAGTGACTAACCCGAAAAGAAAATCAATGAATCAATTATTAATGCAAAATAATGTTTAAACATGAACATGGGGAACATTCTGTCACTAATTTTACTAATTCAATTAAAGGTAAATTGAATAATCTCAATTGGCCATAGTGTATGTGTGTGAAAGAGTGTGAATAGGTGTTTCCCAGTGTAAGGTTGTGGCTGGAAGGGCATCCGCTTTTAAAACATATGCTGGATAAGTTGATGGTTCTTTCCACCGTGGTGACTCCAGATTAATAAATGGACTAAGCCGAAAAGTAAATGAATGAATAAATAATGAGAGAAATTTAATGACATGCCTCAAAGCGTACTACAGCAACTTTTTTATACTGTAAAATGTGATTAATTACTTAAAGTAAGTAAGCCCATTGCCCTAAAAGCGATAAGTTGACTTTACTTTAAAAAGTGAGTAACTCCCATTGAAACTAGGAGCTTTTAAGTTGATTTAACTTCATTTCTTTAGTTATGCACAGTTCATTTAATTTTATTAAACAAATAGTGCAACTGGTTTAATTTGTTTTAAAGTAAAGTCAACTAATTGTTTTACAGCCCTGCTAAAAAATCCAGCTTAAACCAGCCTAGGCTGGTTGGCTGGTTTTAGCTGGTCGACCAGGCTGGTTTTAGAGGGGTTTTGGCCACTTCCAGGCTGGTTTCCAGCCATTTCCAGCCTGGTCTTAGCTGGTCAGGCTGGGAGATGACCAGCTAAAATCAGCTTGACCAGCCTAGCCAGGCTGAGAGCCCAGCCAAAACCAGCTATGTCCAGCTTAAACCAGGCTGGTCAAGCTGGTTTTAGCTGGATTAAGCTGGTCATTTTTCAGCCTGACCAGCTAAGACCAGGCTGTAAATGGCTGAAAACCAGCCTGGAAATGGCCAAAACCCCTCTAAAACCAGCCTGGTTGACCAGCTAAAACCAGCCAACCAGCCTAGGCTGGTTTAAGCTGGATTTTTCAGCAGGGAGTTCATGTAACAGAGTTGAAATTAAGACAAAAAAATACAAATAATACAGAAAATAGATGTTTCTAAATGTTAATGTTTATATAATTTTCTAAACACACCCCAACAGATGAAAACTAAACAATTATTTCATGATAATTAAGGCTAAATGTGTGATTCAGGAGGCGGAGACAATCAAAACTAGTTATAGTGGTCTTTAGTTAATATTTCCAAGACCCTAAATACACATATAGACATTATAAACAAACATCATACATACAACTTGACATAATTTGTTATTATTCAAAACTCAGACATCAGTTTTTTCTTTCTCTAGGAGATGCAAAATCTAAAAAAGGAATGAATGTCTTCGGTAAATCATGGTGAACTAAATCTTTATATCTTTTAAATCTCTCTGTATATAAAAATATTAATGTTATGGCAACAATCCAATTTGGTCTCATACTGACATCTGTTGGTCAAAGAAAGAATGACAGTTCTAAAATATTCTCAAATCCTCTTCAAATGTTTGACACGTTCTGCATATACATATACTCATATTATGTACATTTTATTGTTGAAGTTATTCATTCATTCATTTATTAACTAAGATAAATACTAAGCAAAGTCACTTGACATGTTGATTTTAATATGCGTGATCAAGTAGTCTAGTTTAGTCTAGAAAGAAGCGGCTTTATGCCTAAATTTGTTGAACACAAAAAAATAAGGTCAATCATTTATAAAGTGCAAGTCTTGATTTGTTGTTTCCTTCAGTGTGACTCAGCGAGAATAGACAAGTCCAACTACAACTACATCAACAGACACACCCATATATGAACATAACTAACACTGTCAGCACTGACCCGCAATAAAACACCTCAACCACTGAAGAGAAACTCTATCAGATTACAGACATACAGATACAAAGCATGCATTTGCATTTTAGTTTTACATAGATTGTTCGAAACTTATATTCAAACTAACAGTGCACTTTGTAAAAAAAAAAAAGAAAAGAAAAGACAGAAGAAATATATTAAACAAAGTGGCGTCCCTTTTAAGGAAGGATCTTAATATGTTTAATGATCTTAAAATGACAAATTAACCCACATTTTTACCACGATTTACAGAAAACACCTTCTATAATATCAACCAGTGTAACCGAATATACTGGAAAATCTTGTCAGGCATATTTTGATCAAGACTCTATTTAAGGATCAAAGTCCTGCCCAAAATATATTAATAATTATTTGCTATTTTAAATAGTTATTTCTTTCCTGCTGGTCTTCAAATCATTGTAGGTTTCAAACATCAGAAAGATTTCATCAGAAAGATTTCATTCATTCATTTTCTTTCGGCTTAGTCCCTTTATTCATCAGGGGTTGCCACAGCAGAATGAACCACCAACTTTTCCAGCATACGTTTTACACAGCAGATGAACTTTCAGCTGCAACCCAGTACTGGGAAACACCCATACGCACTCATTCACACTATGGACAATTTAGTTTATTCAATTCACAAATACCGCATGTCTTTGGGGGAAACCGGAGCACCTGGAGGAAACCCACACCAACATAGTGAGAACATGCAAACTCTGCAGAAAGAATATAAAGTTTTTTTTACAGACGCAACATTTCTCATATCACTTTTGCAGAACTCTTCACACAAATTTTCCAAACCGACTTTCAGCTTGGCAAAGCAGTTCATTTCACTTTCAAAATGCACTACAACTACCAAAACACTTTATTCAGGTCTCAATTAAACTCATTTTTCCAGAACACTAGCAAAGGTTGACAGCCGACAAACATACTTTGTCACCCACAAAACAATGACCTAAAAAACACTAACAACATGTAGCTTCACACAGTGTTTTATTGTGTAAAACAAGGACACATCTCTGTTTATAATTGCACTATATGTTGTATATAACTGCAACATATGTTACTGGAATGAATCAAGCATGACGCAGAATTCTTTTTTCAGAAAACTTTTTTTTTTTTTTTTGCACTAAGTAATACCAAAACACACACACAAAAAATGAAAACAACAATCTGTTAATCTGGCTGGTTAAAACAGCATTTTTAGATTTGAAATATCTTTCAATAAAATATTGCTGATGAATTTTGCTGTCTTATTCAGTTTTGCATTATGATATTGTTTTGAACGTAAGCTTAAGCATTTTGAAAAAGTGCAAAATGTCCTGTACGTACAAAGATTTTTGGCAGTTGTTTTGTCTGAGTGAGAAAAGAATTCATGAAATTTGAGAAATGTAGTCACTGAATGCATTTTGTGCCAAAAAATGAAAATTGATCCTCAGTTTAGTCCACATAGACTTGTGCTCACCGTGTGAAGAGTTTTGCAAAAGTTACCTAAGCATTAAGAAATGTGTCCTAGCGTCTGTAAATAAAACTGTAATCTTTTCTCTTTTTTATAAAATAGTACTGTCACTTTTACTAGAACTTCTGTTAAGCTGCTTTGACACAACCTACATTGTAAAAGCGATATAGAAATAAACATGAATTGAATAATTTTATCAACATTTGCTTGAGTAAGTTTATTTTTTCTGTTATGATGCATGACAGAACATTATTTCACTTTATTTGATATCACATTTTTATTTTGATATTTTATTTCCATAATATGAACATAAAAGTAATCTTTTGCATTTGATTGCAATTTTATGCATTTTAAATCACTTTTGTGAAATAATTTGACTAAATAACTTGAACCTTTAAACTTTGACCCATCCCAGCTAACAAAAATGTTTATTAGTTATTATTTTCTTGAGAACATTGAGGTTCTGAAGCACACACAGCCCTTTTTAACCTTTAAAAATAATGAAGAAGAAATGTTCCATTAAGCAAACTTTTGTGCTAATGTTTTGATAAGATTAAAAACATTGTTAAGACCAATAACTTTTGAAATGTTCATTCACTCATTCATTTTCCTTCGGCTTAGTCCCTTTGTTCATCAGGAGTCGCCACCAGGGAATGAACGGCCAACTTATCCAGCATATGTTTACACGGCGGATGCCCTTCCAGCTGCAACCCAGTACTGGGATTCACCCTTACACACTCACATTCACTAGACCTATAGCGCATGTCTTTGGCCTGTGTGATAAACAGGAGCACCAACGCGGGGAGAACATGCAAACTCCACACAGAAATGCCAACTAGTCCAGCCAGGACCTTCTTGCTGTAAGGTGACAGTGCTAACCACTGAGCCATCGTGTTGCCCTACTTTGGAAATGTTACTGGACCAAAGTTTGTTCATAACTTTACCAACCGGTTATTTAATTGATAACAGCTAATGTAACTGAATGAACGTACACTTTGTTAGTCTTGTAGTCTAGAGTTTTGGGAGTAATAAAATTACCTTCATATTTTTCAAGATAACCGATGACACTGTCGTTGAACAAAAACATTATATAATAAATTAGTAACTTAAGTGTTTAGTAAATAAATATCATTTTACAGTTTAAAAGACTGTTTCACCCACATAAGTATAAATCAATATAAACCATGACTAACAGAATATTTAGGGAATATATTGAAGGAACAACAACATTCCATTTACTTAAAAACTGTTCAATAGTACGAGATGTTTTCAGAGCTTTTATGTTAAAGAATGATTAATGTAGATCAGAAGCTAATATTTAGACATCATCCAACTCCCTTTTTCAGAAATAGGAGAATGAGAAAAAAAGCACGTGACTGGTTTGAAAGTAGCATGATATCACCATCTGCTATCATCATATGCCTTGAGTGAGGGAAGTGTTTAAAACTCCCTCACCTTAAACTCCACCCATGAACAAGACGTCATAACGCTTCTTCTCAGGAGTTTCAGGGATTTCTTAACTGCAGCTGACGGTGAAATTAGTGGTGAGTGTTTGTGTGTGTGAGAGATTAAGCAAAAATCCTTCAGCATTCAGCGTTCCTGACCGTCTTCACCACTTCGGAAAGAGGATATTTCAGCTTCCCAGTCAGTAGTCGTCCGTGGTTGAATCGCATTTGCACCATGGCTGCTGTGAAAGCGCTTCAACAGTGGTGCAAGATCCAGTGTGAAGGATACCGGGACGTGTCGATAACCAACATGACCACATCTTTCCGGGACGGTTTGGCTTTCTGCGCTCTAATTCACAAACACAGACCGGACTTGATGTAAGTATTAGCAGCAGCTCCCCCGTAAAACAACGCGCGGTTTGGCGTTGCATCGTATTCAGAAAACACACCGCTTCTGGACGCTTGACGTGAAATTAAATGTTTCACATTCAAACGAATAGTTTGATTATAGTTTATAACTCTCCTCAGGAGCGCTGAACTGGCTCAAAACAAACTACACTTTTGACGAGGACGTTGTATCTTGTTATGCAGTAAAAGTTTTATTGCTTTTTGGAACATGAAAACATAAAAGTTTTTGTATTTAGGTTAAAGAAAAATCTGTGTTTAAAAAAAGCGTTAGACCTTTTAAACTAACGTTTAAAACTTGAGAAGAGCACTGGTACTTGTTGACCTTGAGAATGAGAAAATTGAACGTTTAATTGGCTACCTAAGTAACATTTTCATGACATTATGACTAAAACATAAACCTTTTAGAACTAATGTTGCATTTAGAATATAGAATTTGTGACCAAAAGAGGAAGAACATTAAGAATTCCAACGTTCCAACTTTAGTTTGGGGGACAACTTATTTTAAGCTTAAGTAGTGAAAATTAAAACTGAGTAGAGATTTGGTAATTATTGACCTTGAGATGATGAGATTATTGAATGTTTAATAGGCTACTCAATGTCTTGGGTAAAAAAAAAATCACAAATTATGACTAAAACATAAAACTTTTAGGATTAATGTTGCATTAGAATTTGAGTAAGAATATTTAGAATTCCAAGCTAGAGCAAAATGAAGATGGAGCTTTTAGAATGTTGGATGACATGAAGACATATTTTAAACTTAAGTTGTAATAATTTATACAGAAGATAGCATTAATACTAGTTGACCCAAAGATGATAATATTATTACATTTTTAATGGCTACTTAATAACTTGGGTTAAAAATTTATCAGAGATGTATGACTAAAACTAATGTTGTAATAGAATATGCGACAAAAAAGTAAAAACATTAGAATTCCAAACTAAAGTTAAAATGGTGTAGATGGAACTTTTAAAACCTTGGATGACATGAAAACTTATTTTAAACTTAAGTTATAAAAATTAAAACTGAAGAGAGCATTGGTACTTGTTGACCTTGAGATGATGAGATTATTGAAGGGTTAATAGGCTACTAAATAACTTGGATTAAAAATATCACAAAATGAAGACTAAAACTAGTGTTGCTATAGAATTTGTGACGAAAAACAACATTTTAAATTTCCAAACTAAAGTTACAATGGAGTAGTTGGAGCGTTTAGGACGTTGGATTACATGAAAACTTTTAAAACTCATTTTAGATTTAAGTTGTGAAAAATTTATGAAGAGAGCACTGGAACATGTTGACCTTAAGATGATGTGATTATCGTTTAATATGCTAATGACTTGAGTTAATAAATATCACAATGTTATAATCAGAGCATAGAACTTTTAGAACTAAATGTTGCGTTAGAAGTAAGTTTATGACAAAAACAAGAACATTAGGATTCCAAAGTGAACGAAAAGTTACACTGAATGGCATAGTTAGAACAAATTAGAACTTTGGATGGCATGAGAACTTTTAAAACTTGTTATTTTAGATAACAATCTTATCTTGTTATTTTAGATAAGTGAAAGTTAAAACTGAAGAGTGCACTGGAACTTGTACAACTTGAAATGGAATGATTAAAGGTTCAGAATATCACAGCTTCGAAAATATCACCCGAATATAGTTTGACAACAACTGTACATTAGAACAAGAAGAAAATGTGACATTTCAAATCAAAAGTTACAATGAAAATGTTGGGACTTTTTTTTTTAAGAACTTTGAATGAACTTTTGTAGTGTTTGTGTGTTACAGAAAAGCTTGTTTCACTTTGTAGATATGGAATGTTGCAAGTGTGTTTGTATTAGTGTCAGATTTATGTTGTTAATATTTGTCATTATGGGGAAGTCCCTGTTAGTCATGCACCTCTCATTTTTTTGCTCTCTTGCAGAGACTTTGACTCTTTGAGCAAGGAAAATATTTATGAAAACAATCAACGGGTAAGATACCATTCACTTTTTCAGTTATCTCCTCTGTTTGATCACGTTTTTATAGACACTGACGTTTTACTTGTCATTTATCCATTTAGATGTAAAACAGTAAATTTGTAAATCATATTTTTTGTGTCTCTTGACTATATTACAGTCTCAACGAGTTAATCATATGGGCTGATAAACATTGAATATAGGCTTATTTTATTAGAATATTCGAGTCCTTTTAATTTATAAGATTTAAGCAGAAAATAGTTCATTAAGAAATGTAAAAATCTTCTTTTTTACCTCAAAAGGATTAAATGGTTCTTTTTAGAATGCAGAGCAGATCCACAACTGAACCCACTTTAGGTTTTCTGGGAAATGCCTTCATTCCAAGATCACAACCCCGTCATTTTAACAGTTCGTAAGTTTCCTAGACCTCTCGCAGAGCTATTTGACCCATGTGTGGTTGACCAGGGCTAAAATGTGACTGCACAAACCACAAGAAGAGGCACTGAGCATGCATTTACTGTTTTTGTAACAACTGAATCGCATGTTGAGCTGTTTTAGGTCATTATAAATCATTATTGGCACAGTTATCTTTCCTGTTTCCACGGAAAAGGAATGCTGTCCAATAAGGGCTTTGTTGTGAAAGAGAGAATACAAAAGCACAATGCAAAAGAAATGCTAATGAATTTCTTTGTGAGGATATAATAATGGCGCTGTCTTTGCAGACGTGTGGGAGAGAGACAGAAAGTGAAAGTGTCAAGATAAGGTATATCATGGTTTATTTACAGGCTAGAGATTCAGTGTTGGATTATAAAGAACTTGGCACTGGCTAAGAGGTCAATGTTCAAAAAGCAACAGCTTGCAATAGTTATTTCCTAACTGTGAATTTTCCCTGGAACAGTCGGTAGTGATCCTCAATGATTCCCAGTTTTTCTTTTTGGATCTCATTTACCTGTTGTGTGAGTTTTTGAACGAAACCTCACTGAGAATAACTTCCCCTTTATTCGTCTCCATCTAGATTTTATCTCAGTTCTTTCACTCCTCGGTCATGTCTGCTCTTGTTTATTTTTTGATCGAAGCTGCTTTTTTTCTTCCAAAGTAATCTAGGCCATGTTCACATTTTTGTGTGTGTAAGATGCCATAGAGGAATTGTAGCTCTACCACTCAATGCCTCTAGATGGAAAAATCACACCACAAATGACAAACTTTTGCCCAACTGTTTATCATTGCAACATTATAAACTGTGTGAATTACAGGGGGGTTTGGAGAGGATTGACCCTCCTAGTTAAGGATTGATACTCTGAAGGATGTCAAAGCACGATGTGTAGGGGGGTCAACCCTTTGAAACTGAGAAAAAAGTTCACTGTGATCTGTATTTTAAATAATAATGTTAATAGACATACATTTGACCACCCCTGTAATGGTTCATACCATTGTGAATGCATAATCGCACCAATCAGTCTGAGAAAAAAAGTCATTCAACTATCTGAAACCTGCAGATTCAGAGCACCGATAGACACCATAAGAGTTCACAAAACATAGAGAAAACCAAGTTCTCTCATAAAATAGATGTTTGTTTCTACTTATTGCCTAAAAGTAACATCAGGGGCCTGTTTCAGAAAGGAGGTTAACTGAAAACTCAGAGTATTTTAACCCTGAAATGAGAGAAACTCTGGGTTTTCCGTTTCAAAATGGCAGGTTTGTTAAACTCGAGAAAGCAGGGTAAGTCAAGCCTGTTTCTGAAAGAGAGGTAACTTTAACTCAGAGTCAGTTACTGTGGTAACTTACTCTGTGAATCTAACCTGGTCAGAAGCAGGTTTTATTCTCTAAACTCAGAGTTTCTGTCTGTCTCCTCCCCTTTTTTAAAGATGAAGTGGTATTTCTCGCCTTAGCCTTACGTTTCCACCCACCCATTTTAATGCTTATTTTGGATACGTGCATAAAAACGATTGATAGAAACGTCATGATGCACATAACTTTTTAAAATATGCATAAAAAACGCGCATAACTGAGTAGGATAAACTTTTATTCGATAGAAAATGTGCGCATAATACGATGGAAACACTTTTACTGAACAAATTACAGTATGTACATTAAAAAAAAAGATCATAATCATATGATAATGAAAATGTGTGTAAATGGAGGCTGAGAACAGTGTAACATGTCTTAAATATTGTTTTAGTCATTCTAAAATGCCTTAACTGTTTCAGTATTAGTGTATATTATTAATTACCTCCGAACGTCTGGTGCGTGTCAAGAGTCTCCGCGTCTCATGGCTTCAGACGCCCCCACGTGTTCATTGTGTTTCAGCGTTGTCTTCTGACATCGAGGCACAAGTGCATTAATTAGGCTAAATAAAGAATTAATTGACGCAGCTTCTTCTACCACAGTAAATTCTGTTTTTACTGTTGATATTTGGTGCCAGTTTAATCAGGAAGTGACGATTTTTTTCTCTTTGACTTGTTGGATGGAATTTTATTCGCATCTTTTATGCAATATTCCAGTTTTGCACATAAATTTATGTAATATATTTGGATGGAAACATAGCTATTGCCTACATTTTAGTCACACACAGAAGAACTGTACGAGAATGGCTTATCCTTTTTAAATGAATAATTCAATTAAATTCACCTTCGACATGCACTGTAACTAGATTAATGGGATTATTATTCTTTCAAAAAATTATTTTTAGTACTGCTTACCTTCTAAATGTTAGATTAACCTCTATCACTTGATCAATAAAAAAGGCAGGCACACAAGTGCACTGTTAAATCATTTAAAACTAATAAATGTATAAAAAAGTTTAGAAAAAAAATATTAACGTCACAAATTACATTACTTATTTTATTATACTTAAATATTTAAATACTTAAAAAGTGAAATTAGGCATTAACTTGAGCAGCTGTTTTCCCACGCTAACTGTCTCTTCTTCTTTTCAAATATATACGCTCATATTTGCTATAACTTTGCATGAGAACATCAAGTTCAGCTGGAGAAAGAAATGGTGATCTCTTTTATAAGATGTTGCCATAGTCACTCGTAATGTCTGCGCTCCATTGATAATGCCTTTTTAAAGTCACGGTGTGCGCGCTTAACTCTGAGTTGGTCTACTCGAAGTTGATTGACCCAACTCAGATCAGCTGTTCTGAAACCGAAAACTCTGAGTTTTTAATCTCTTGGTAAATCAACTCAGAGTTCAAGTTTTAACTCTGAGTTGTTTGAACCTCCTTACTGAAACAGGCCCCAGATTAGATGCATTGTTTGTATAGTTTGTCCTAAAGTAAACTGAAATAGCTAATCAGGGGTGCGTTTCCAAAAACCATCCTTAGCCAACTAAGGTTGCAACCTCTTTCGTTACAAACTGTTTGTTGATTTAATATTTCCCCAGATCTGTCGTTTCAACGATTATTCGCAAAATGCATCGCAAACTCTTGCAAATACACAAGCTGGAGCTGGAGGTAAAGCAAAGTTCCTAGTTGTGTTCTATTCCTAGTTATCAGTTACATATGCTCTATTCATTTATTCATTTCCTACTTTAATAATAATAATAATTATTTTTATTATTATTATTATTATTATTAGTAGTAGTAGTAGTAGTAATATAATTTTTTTCATTTCCTAATTAATAGCCTACTGTGAATTAGGCCTACAACCATTAATGATTAATATGATTTATATATGAAATTAGTATATGTGTTAGCTAAGTGATTTTATATGGAATATTCTCAATAATATTTGTAAATGAAGCCTATAGGTCCTATATGTGTCATTTACATATATTTCAATAATATGAAAAGCGAGTGCATGTTTTTACCAAAACTAATATTGGATTTTTTTTTTAAATGCGTGTACATGTAAAACAACATAATTTGCACAAAAGATTATGGTGGTTTTACTCCACCCCATTTAGAGCATCATTATAAACATTTTACGTTATAACTAAAGTGGTTCAAATGATGGATTTGCGACAGTGAAACTACAGTTTTGGGAAACAATTGTCACTACATTGTTCTTTCCCAAACAATGCATTGTGCTATGATAGTTTAGCCGCGAGTTATGTTGTTGTTTGGGAAATACACCAAATAGCCTATCCCACAAAACACTGAAAACCTAAATGCATTTTATGAATAAATTAGATGTCATTTAAATTAATGCATACATTTGATTCACTGAAGCAAGTATTACCCCCCTGAAAATCAATGTATAATTCACACCCTAGTTATAAACTATCCTTAAACTAATGCAGCCCTACAAAATACAAAGTGAAAAGAATTGGTTTCAGTAGCTAATGTAAATCAATATGTTATGTGTAACATTTTTAATCGTAAAATGCCCATAAGTGGAAATGGTCAAGGAAGTAGACAGTTATTTTACAGGTTAAATATTTATCAGGATTTTGTATTTCTCAAGTGCTTCCCCTTCCCTTTTTAGAGCATGTGTTTTTGCGGATCTGGAACTTGATAATGGAGGTATATTAATATGTAAAATTGTCAATAGGAAATCCTGTGATTGTTCTGCTTCACAGAAAATCGTGCACACACACACACACACACACACACACACACACACACACACGTACACACACACGTAAACCCTGTTATTGCTGAGTGCTTTTTTTTCTTTCTTTTTTTAAACCAGGCTTTCGAAGTGGCAGAGAAGGAGTTGGGAATACCTGCCCTCCTGGATGCTGAAGACATGGTGGCTTTAAAAGTGCCAGATCGCCTTAGTATTCTGACTTATGTGTCCCAGTACTACAATTATTTCCACGGGCGCTCTCCCAGTAAGGCACACATTTCAATGCTGTTACTACTGCATATAGCTGTTATTTAGCCAATTAACAGGAGTCATTTTAAGACGTACACAATTCCAGATCATAAAACTAAGGCTGCTTATAGACTGAAATGTTTTAGAAGTGACAACCACTTTTAAGTGCAGCAGGAGTGAATATATTATCTTTTTAAAAGTTTGAAAGGGAATGTGACTGGTTCCTGAAAGTATGATTGACCCATTGGTGGGAATCATAGCAACTTTCTGGCTTCTCTCTTGTTTGGTTTCCTATATGTTTGATATTGGTAATATTGTGGTGACTAAAGATGTCAACATATGCATGTTTGTGTTGGAAAGCTGCAGTGTGGAGTGCGCTCTTGCTTGCTGTGTGTGCTCATTTTAAGCATGAGTAGGATTGCAGTTTAGAATTGGCCCATGAAGCAATTCAATTATTAAAGTGAGACTGTAAGTGCCACAATATTGAAGTAATTATTTTTTTTCAGTATAAAGCATTAGGTTTTATTTTTAGATTATGGACTTAATTTTTTCTATCAAGATCTGGGATCACGGGTGAGTCAATGATCATGTTTCTTTCTCTGTGATATCTTGCACCGTGATATGTCTGTAATGTGCAATTAAAGTGATAGTTCACCCAAAAATGAAAATTCTGTAATTTACTCACCACTGACTTGTTCCAAACCAGATTGAGTTTTTATGTTCTGTTGAACACAAAAGAAGATATTTTATACAATGTTCATTAATGAATGAATGAATGAATGAATGAAACTTGTTATCATTGATTTACATAGTACTGTTTTTCCTACTATAGAGGACTTTGGTTGCAGGTTTCAAATTCCAACATTCTTCAAAATGTCATCTTTTGTGTTCAACCTCTTTGGGTGAGTCAAGGGCAAGTAAATAACAGAATTTGTGTTTTTTTTTTTTTTTTTTTTTTTTTTTTGGGTGAACCATCCTTTAAATACGCCATTAAAAACTAGTTAAGTTCAGTTTAATACACTCTGCTCAGTACATGTGGTTGTCTCTGCCTGCATTTTTCTTGGATGAATTCAGTTGTAGAATGTGGTTGTCATTTCTTAGAACAGGATTTAATGCTAATAGGTGAACTGGCTGCTTAATGTAGCAAATATGTGACCTAAATATAATCCTGAGATGAAGTCTGTTCACAAAATTGAACTATGATTAAACAATATAATTAAAAGTATTATAATTGATAAGCATGTTAATTCTATTCCATTTGCTGTCACTAACAGCACAATAATAAGGATAAACGTTTTTAATGTTGCTAAAAACATTTCACCTTTTTTTGTTGTGTAGTTGGAGGAATGGGAGGGATTAAAAGACCAGCTGAAGAGTCTAATGAAGCGCCATCTGGGAAGAAGAACCCACCTGTCATTGCTAAAGTTCTTCCCTCACCTAAGCCAGCCACGGAGAATAAAACACCCAAACCGGCGAATGAAAATAAGGTACAATATATAACACCTGTGATCTCGCATATTTACAGTCAGCCACTGCATGTGTTTTCTGTAATCAGACAACTAGTGGATCATAAAAAAAATAACAAGAATCCCTTCACTCTGAAATGCATTCAGACTGTAATCTGTTAACATAAGCTAGGAAGTTTTTTTGTGACTTATTCAAGGTGCAACTGAACAGTTGTAAATGCATCTGGTTGTTGAAACACATTTCTAAAGCAATTTTTTTTTTCAAAATGCTAAAAATTCATGTGTGAGAATGTTTTATTGGTTTATTATTTACTGCTGAGAGTCTAAACACTGAAGAGCAAATCCATCGATGCGCAGCTCTACAGATCCCGAACCGTGCAAGCCAGTGGCGACAGCGGTGAGGAAAAAACTTCACCAATTGGCAAAAGTGAAGAATATAAAAACAGGCTCAGTTGGGCTCGACCATCTCTGCTATGGCCAAACGTCTTGTGCAGAGCTGCAGTCTAGGTGCCGGAGGCTGGAGAAGGCTGGACATCAGCGAAGACTTGTCTGCCCCTGGAGTCTCACAGGAATCAGTCTCATGCTCTCCACTCATGCTCAGGATATGGCCTGGTCCGGGATTATGGAAACCTTGGGATCATCTCTTCAAAGGTCTTGGATTGCATCAATGGCGTTGCATAATCTCTGGGGGCCTCGGGATGAGTGTCCCCAGGTGTAAATAGAGAATAAAGACAATAATTAGCATAGCTGCTGTTCATAGTGTGTATAAACAAGATGCGTTGAGCACATTTATGCATCATACTGCTATGTGATGCATTGAGTGTATGCTTTACTAAACGGGTAGGTCTTTAATCTAGTTTTGAACTGCGAGAATGTGTCTGAGCCTCACATTATCAGGAATGCTTTTCCAGAGTTTTGGTGCCATAAATGAGAAGGCTCGACCTCCTTTAGTAGACTTTGCTATTCTAGGTACTACCAGAAGCCCTGATTTTTGAGATTTTAAAGAGCGGGTTTGATTGTAGCAAGACAGAAGGTTGGTTGTATAAACAGGAGCTAGATTATTATATATTATGTATAAATCAAACTGTTCAACTTAACAGCAAGCCCATAGGATCTTCGTGCAGTTTAATTTATTTTATTTCTTCAACTGTGTTTAATTAGTAGAAAACATAAGAGATTTAACACTGCTCTTGTTTTGCTGTATTTTGAGATGATTTATGAATATTGTTAATGTTAAATATTGTGCATAATTTTTCTTTAATTAATCTTTGTCTTTTCCAGAGAGAGGTTTTGACTGAACGTGCCAATAAATCGTCAACTCCGAGCAGCAACTGTAGTGTGTGCAACCAACATGTTCACCTCGTCCAGCGCCACCTAGTAGATGGAAAACTGTATCACAGGAACTGCTTTAAGTGAGTCATTTCTCTATTTTTGAGCCTTTGTCATTTGTTCACATTTATGTGAACCCATCAGTATCACATGATCAGTGAATCATGCATGTGATGTCTCAATTGTCATCATAATAATCTAATGTGAGCAATGTAGAAAACATTTATGCAATATCTGCCTGTCAGTTTAAAAAATTAGATTTAAAAATGTGAACAACTGAGACTTTTTTTTTTTTTTTTTGTAATCTGTAGTAAAAAGAGCATGATAAATTTATTTGTAACTTATTTAGCTAATTCTACCTGTCTGTTTAACAGATGCAAAGAGTGTTCCACTATTCTCCTCTCTGGCACCTACAAGGCTGGAAAAGAACCAGGCACTTTCATCTGCAAGACACACACGAGCATAGAGAAGCCTCTAACTACACGCTTCACGGCACCATCCAAAACACAATCCACCTTTATAAACAAGCCTGACCAGAGTGCGTTAGGTGGAAGTACTGGTAAAGCTAGTTTAAATACGAACACATCTAAATTGGGTTGGCTGGCCAACAAAAGTGACCGCATTCCCATGCGTGGGTTCACCGACACACCTACTCCAGCAGTTCAGCTCACGCCAACGGCAAAAGCAACACCCACACCAGACACTACAACAGCGAAATCCCCCTCAGGCCCCAGATCTGCCACTGAATCTCTTAAACCTGTGAGCAACACTGTTCAGAAGAACCAAGAGGCCAGAATGAGGTGAATATTTCTTAGTTCAGTTTCCATTATGTTGTGTCAGTGTTGTTATTGTTGACTAAAGTGATTAAATTTAATAATTGGAGTTAAGTCTTAAGTTTAAATTTTTTTTTTAAATTGTTTCATTTGAAACTAGCTGAAATAAGAACTTGTTGAAACAATAAGTAAAAAAACATTTATTGGAAAACTGCTGAAATGTTTAAATCAGTATAAGAATAAAAAAAGAATGCAATATATTTATACGATATAATTCAATAATTCAATCCTAAATATTAATACTATATAATAGTGGTAAAAATAGTAAAATAAGACTGCATATAACACAGGTGAACATATGATCTGTTGAACAATTTGTAGGCATGCATAATATAACAAATATTTTAATTTACTGGTATATCCCAATAAATGTATAATAGGCAATTACAAACTTATTTGATTTATGAATAAAAAGTATGCATTTCATGCTCTATTTTAGAATTTTATTATACCTAAATCTACTTGAGCATTGTTTTAGAGTAAATTAAAAGATGTAATAAAAATGACAACTTGGGTTAAATTTACTATAACTTACTAAATTTAATAAAAATTAATTAATCAAATGAATATTGCTAATGCTATAGATTAAACAAATTTGCGCTATATATATATATATATATATATATATATATATATATATATATATATATATATATATATATATATATATATATATATATATATATATATATGTATATGTATATATGTATATGTATATATGTATATGTATATATGTATATGTATGTATGTATGTATGTATGACTAAATTGCATAAACTGTAACTGCATTGTTTTATATTGAAATATGTCAGATTGGAGTATATCTCTCTCTAAGATGTTTTAAAGCATGCACAGTATATTGTGAATTCAAATAATAATAACAATGCATCATGTATAATAAACAAACCATGCAATGCAATGTTTTTTTTTTTACTAGATTCTTTGAGTCCAGCAGCAGCAGCCCCAGCAGTGTTGTGCCTGCCAGTAAGAGCACCTCATCATACACCTCAACTACATCAGTGAGTACTGCAGGTGTTAAAACTACAGCACCAGAAACTACAACACCCAGAGTCCCTGCCGGAGCAGGTAAAGGCAGAGTTCTGCTCCGAGTGGGAGACTGGGCAAAATCACAGGACACAGAAAAAGAGAAGGAGAATGAAAAGGAAAAGGAAAAAGCCAAGGCTGTGATTGGGAAGATGGTGAAAGTGGACAAAGATAGCAACAGCTCATCTGCTAGTCCAGCTGGGCTGAAAGCAAACAGCAGGTGAGCTGCTTCGATATATATATATTTTTATTTATTTATTATTTTTTTTTTGTTTGTTTTGTTACTGAAGGATATATACATACACATACACACACACACACACACACACACACACACACATACATGAGTAGCCGTGTGCTATAGCTGTATATCAATGCACGCCTCCCAACAGTGCTGCTATACAGCCAAAGCACACTGCTACTGTAGTGATATTGTTCATATATATATATACATATATATATTTTATAATTTGGGTAAAATAAACATGTGCTTTGATAAATTTTTGATCTATATAGTTTGCCTAGAAATTTGAGTTTGATTCGCATGTATTGTAGTAACGCATAAGATTTATTATAGTTCCGTTTTCAAGCTGCTCTCACTGTAAAATATATATTATTAGAATGTGAAAGTTTCAGTACAATTAGATTAAGTTGTTTCTCAAATATTGAATTGAAAATCATATTTAAACTTGTATAAATATTACATTTAAATAAATTTTGTTTGTGTATCTTTTTTTACTGAAGTATGAAGTTATCATAAAATGTTTTTATGTATATTTATCTTACCATGAAATAGCCGAAAGTTGCAGATGTGGCAATAAATTAAATTAATTAATTAATTAATTATTTATTATTTATTAATAATAATAATAATAATAATTTGTTACATTTATATAGCGCTTTTCTGGGCACTCAAAGCACTTTACACAATGGGGGGGGATCTCCTCATCCACCACCAGTGTGCAGCATCCACCTGGATGAAGCGACGGCAGCCATTTTGCGCCAGACCGCACACCACACACCAGCTGATTGGTGGAGAGGAGACAGAGTGATGATATGCCAATCATGATATGGGGAGGGTTAGGAGGCCATGATGGACAGAGGCCAGTGGGCAGATTTGGCCAGGATGCCGGGGTTAAACCCCTACTCTTTTTCGAAGGACATCCTGGGATTTTTAACGACCACAGAGAGTCGGGACCTCGGTTTAACGTCTCATCCGAAAGACGGCGCTCACTGAGCAGTATAGAGTCCCCGTCACTATACTGGGGCATTAGGACCCACACAGACCGCAGGTTGGGCGCCCCCTGCTGGCCTCACTAACACCACTTCCGGCAGCAACCTAGCTTTCCCAAGTGGTCTCCCATCCAGGTACTGACCGGGCGCAGCCCTGCTTAGCTTCAGTGGGCGACCATGTGAGAGTTGCAGAGAGCTAGCTGCCGGTATTAAATACATTTTAATTTATTTATTTAAATTAATTACAAAAAATAACAAAAAAATGTTGTAGAAAAATCTTTCACATACATTAGGGGCGGTATTACAGAAAATTTTGCCGATTATTAAAAGCTTGACTTTTCTAAACCGTGGTATACCTTGAAAACGGTTATCATCCTATGCCTATATACGAACATTGATATTGAACAATGTGTGTATCAGCAGTAGTCATATTGTTTTATTTTATTGTATACAATTATTTATACAACGATGGCCATGTTATTTTACAGTTGATTTGTTCAATTTCTATATTTGAATACTATCCGGTAGTCTACCCAGAAGTTCTTGACCCTCTTTAAAAGCAAAACATAGCTTCAGTTTAAATAAACATTAATCACTCATAATTTTGAGGAAAACCAACAGAAATTGGATTAAAGTAATGCTTTCTAGTCTGCATGTATTGAGCGTGTTTGTGCTACTTTATAAAGACTGTCTGCTTTCAAATTGTTGAATTCAGTAGCGTACACATTAAACTGAAGTATACTTTTGGTTTTTGAGCACATTATGTAATTATCATTTATGTCTTCACTTGTTTTCTTAGGGTGGAGGTGTACAAGGGTCACAATGAAACAGAATTATAGCCTTTATGTACCTGTCGAGTTTTGTTTGAATACTTGGTGTTTGCTGACATGTCGGCTCACAAGACACATTCATCATGAACACAATCTCCTTTCACAGTAATGTTCCCCCTCTGGAATCTAATGCTAAAGCCCCCTTTGGTCGGGTGCGTCTCAAAGCGCTTGAAGCCAGTGGTGAAACTACTGCTCCTGCCACTACAGTCCCATCCTGGATGAAAGAGAAGAGCTTATCCAGGAATGTGAACACACCGTCATCTAACAGCAAGGGTGAGGAACACTGACTTACCTGTGCTTTTACTGTACATGCACTGATGTCTAATATACAGTGGTTGTTTTCATTGGCAGAGATGGTTTGTTTTGATTGATTGGATATACTAATGTTGCGCATTTAATGTTTTGATATGTTTATATAACTTATTTTAATTAGACTTTTTATTTATTTTAATTTAATTAAAGACTGCTTTTATTATTATTATTATTATTATTAATAATAATAATAAAGATGATTATGATTGTTGTTCTTAAAAGCTCAGTGTCAACCAATTTTTTGGACTCGAATGCAGTTCAAAGACCAACAAAAAATAATTTATATTCATTATTATTATTATCATTATTATTAATATTATTATTATTATTACTACGACTACTATTACTACGACTATTACTACTGCTATTCTATTATTACTATTACTACAACTACTGTTATGACTACTAATACTATTGCTTATATGACTATTACTACTGCTGTTACTACTATTACTATGATGTTATTAAGACTTTTACTACGACTATTGCTATTACTACTATTACCACTATTACTACAACTACTATTACTACTACTACGACTATTACTACTGCTATTACTTCTATTACTACTATTACTATTACCACTATTACTATGACTACTGTTATTACGACTACTATTACTACTACAATGACTATTACTACTGCTATAATTACTACTACGACTAATTCTACTGCTATTACTATTACAATGACTAATGTTATTACGACTTTAACTTCAAATACTACTATTACTTCTATTACTATGACTACAATTACTACTTCTACGACTGTTACCACTGCTATTACTATTTTTTACTGCTGCTATTACTACAACTACTATTACAACTACTATGACTACGATTATTACCATGACTACTATTACTAAGACTATTACTACTGCTTTTACTTCTATTACTAATATTACTATTACAACTATTACGAAAACTAATATTACTACTACTACTACGACTTACCACTGCTATTACTACTTTTACTACTGCTATTACTACGACTAATGTTTTTACGACTACTATGACTTTAACTTCTTCTATACGACTATTGCTACTGCTATTACTTCTATTACTATTACTACTATTACCACTATTAATATGACTACTGTTTTTACGACTACTACTGCTATTACTACTACTGTTACTACTACAACTATGACTACTGCTATTACTTCCATTACTACTACTGCTATTACTACAACTACTATTACTACGACTTACTACTGGTATTACTTCTATTACTACAATTACTACTGCTAATCATAATATATTTTATACTATTATTTTAAAACATTTTCAATTATACTGTTATCAGTAGTAGTAGTAGTAGTAGTATTCAATTTATATAAAAATTATTATATTTTTTTATTGTTTTGTAATAGAATATTTTATCATTTAAATGTCTTAAATCTCAGTTTAACTTATTAAATGGATTATTTTTAAGAAAAAGTATTAATTTCTGAAAAAAGGTCTAAAATCTGATTTAATTGTTAAGATTGTTTTTATAAGACAAACAATTATGTTATTTATAAAGTTGGTTTACTTACTGTAGCTTTTTTTCTTATGAAGATGTGTCTGATAAGGGTTTCTAAAAATGATGATATAAATCATTTGATCTAATTTCAGAAAACGATACGGTTCCATCTGACTGGAGATCAATGCTCAAGCCTGTTTCAAAGTAAGTTGTGCATGTTTTGCTGCATCTCCAGCTTCTGGTATTTACTAATACTGTCTTGTTTTTACTATTTTTATTTTTTGAAATTATACAAGAACCATATTCTGTCATGTCCTCTCAGCAAAATTATTTTAATAACATCTTCAGACATATTTCCCTAACCAAATCATCCTGCTCTTCATTGATTAACCGCTTGATTCTCCAGACGCTCTGTTCCTCCCACTTCTTCAAGCTCTGCTGGGATTGGCTGTCATGATTTGCGTGTCAAGCCGCTGCGTCCTATAAGAGCAGCGGTGGGTCGAATCTGAAATAAATCATGCTCTATTCACTCATGTGCTGCTTCCATCAAGATCTTTCTACTGTAAATTCCTGTTTAACTTTCTTGCCCACCTTCACAAACTTTAACCCATCAGAGGTGAGAGAAGCGATGCTAAACCTTTAACGTGGTTCATGAAACTGCAGTAAAGGGTAATTTTTGTTTATTTGTTTTTCTTTATTAGACCTGTCAGTAATCTAGAAAGCAAGGGCTTACCCGCCAGGAGGACAGAAGCAGTTTCTTCTCCAAAGACATCTGTTCCTGCTTCATCTACAACAACCATCTCTATTAGCATCAGCTCCTCCAAAACACCCTTAACTACCCCACTGAAAAATGGGTCAAAACCTAATGGTAAGGTCGTAGGAGAATGAGAGGCTGTGAAGTTGTTTAAGAATTTCATTTGTGTATATTCATTTATAGATTTCATTATATTTATATATTAATTTATTTTTCATTAATATAGGGACAAATACTTTATTTTTCTAATAATCATATTCATATACAAGGCTTTACATTAACACTCGCCAAATGCGAGTAGATTTCAGCTCTGGCAGGTTAGCCAGACATCTCCACTAGCTACTTTGGCTGGTTGAAAATCATTTTTAAATTGTAGTTTTCTTAAAAGCAGGGTTCGACAATAAGCATGACGCTTTGTTCGTGCAAATGTGATATTAGAATTGTGAAGTAGGATGACTGACAAAAATAACTGTTCGCGCAAGCACAAGAATGGTGAATACAGAATGAGAGCATGATCACTCGAGCTAACAGCTGATGCGATGCGCGCAACTGTTAAAAAGCGTGCGCGTGCTCCCGTTTACTTGCGCAAAGCAACTTTTGCGTACAGTTATTGTTTTTTAATATGGTTTAATTATCATTTTTTACAATAACATTGCTTTAATGGGAGATTATTCCGTTTATGTGTAGTTAACTGGTGATCTGGGACTTTTAGCCAGGACAGATTACTGTGCATATTTTAGATACTTGCGAATAATTATTTCTTTAAATGTAATGTTTTTTTTTAAAGAAAAGTTTTGTTGAATTAAAAAGTGCACCTATACAGCCATATCTTCCTTGTTTTTACACATTAACAAATTGTGGCTAAGAAATACTTATTTGGTGTGGTCAGAGATAAATTTGGTAAATTCTTAATTTTGAGCCCTGAAAAGTCGTGAAATAAAAGGTGATTGCATTATAACAAGCCATTTGCTCATGCACACTGAGCAAGCTAATACACAATACACACAAGAAGTTAAATTAATGACAAGGCATGTGGACACAACACAATATCTAAATCAAGCAATTTAGCATGTCAAAGTCCAATTTAAGCAAAATATATTTTCCCAACAAGAAAAGTGTGGCTAGTGAAAATGGCGAGTGGCTAATAATTTTGGAAAACTACTAGCCACAGTGGCTGGTGATCAAAAAAGTATTGTCAAGCCCTATATATATATATATATATATATATATATATATATATATATATATATATATATATATATATATATATATATATATATATATAATATTTTTATTTATTTACCAGTCAACATGCGGAGGTAAAAAAATATCTGTTAGAAATGCTATTTATTATGTATCATTAGTATGATTTATAATACAGTTTCCTCACGGGGACCAAAATAAAGATCAATTGAATAAAGATCAACATCAAAACTAATTTCCAAGGAAAAAAATCTATAGTTGCATAGAAACATATTAAATGCAGTTCAAATGTATTTGTATAGCACTTTTCACAATAATTACCAGTGCACACAATTCACAAATATATATAAATGCCATGTTTTATAAGAATAAATATAAGAAATAAACCATTAAAAACCTAGATGAAATGATGTTCGTTGTTGTTCTATTGAATATGAATATAATATATAAATATAAAAATAAAGAAAAACATTTGTTAACAAAAAGATTAACGATAATTAAGCAATTAATTTTAAGCATTAAAAAAAGTGCAATGAACGTTTCTAAAATCAGAACATAATAATAATCTGAGAATTAAGCTTTAAACTAAATGAAAAATACTACATAAGATAAAAAAGCACCCAAATAATTACAACTCTAACTAGATAGATAGGCCTTTCAATATGACTTTAAGCTGTACAGAAGTGTCTTGAAAAATATCTAGTCAAATATTATTTACTGTCATCATGGCAAAGATAAAATAAATCAGTTATTAGAAAAGAGTTATTAAAACTATTATGTTTAGTAATCTGTTGATAATTTCTGTTAAACAGTAATTGGAGAAAAAAAAAACAGGGGCTAATAATTCTGACTTCAGCTGTATATATTTTATATAGTTTCTCTGTCTTCTATTTATCCATGTGTTTTTCTTTCTTCCAGACTCCAGCAGCGTATTTCCAGTTAGTCCCTCTGGGACAGAGACGCACAAATCACACAAGGTGTGTGTCAAAACAATCATTACATGTGTGATCTGCACTTGTGCATTTCTGTCTGCACCAAAGTGTGTGAGCGCTGAGGGATTACTTCGTCAAGGGGCCTATTTAGACTGTTTTAAAAAGGACCTTTGGGGCACAGTTATCTTTGAATAGACTATTAGAATCAAAATAGTAAAGACTGAGCAGGCTTTTCAATCCCTCTTACTAAAACAGCATTGAAAGAAAAAAATAAACCATTGAAGATCCATCTCATTTGAAGCAAACGTTCATTTATTGTGTGTTTGTTTTAGCCGGGTTACATTCCTAAAGAAGACATTCAGAAAGAGCTGAAGGAGATTGAGATGAATATGAACGAGTTGGAGAAAAAAGGAGTAGAGCTGGAAAAACAACTCCGACAATGTGATGAGGGTCTGTATGCACACTTGTTTTTGTGAATTGTATTGACATTCTATACGTTTCCTTTTTTCCATACTGTACACACTTTATTTTCTATCACTCTAATCTAAATCTATTCTAAACCCAACTCTTAACAGGAAACTGCATTTTTACTTAAAAAAAAATAAATAAAAATAAAAGCTTAGTCAAAGTGTATGATTTTTGAAAATGGGACCTTGCCAGTGTCCTCATAAGTCACCTTCACCTTGTAATTCCTGTCTCATACGCATGGCATTTATGTCCTAATGTCAACACGCACACATACAAATATAAATGCCTTTGGCTCCTTTGTTTTATGCGAATTTCAATAGATAGGACTTTTATACTTTAAGTCTGTATTATATGCTTTAGGCCTATGCCTAAAAAGCATCCAAAAGGCTAATCAGTGTAACAGATATATTTATCTTTAATAATTATAATTATTCTGACCTGTACTTGGTAAAATGCTTTCAGGAATAAGTGATGAGATGTTTAATTGCCTTAAATAGTCTTGCCCTGTGGTTTGAAGGATAGTGGCAAAGTAATAAAGATTTAAAATGACTATTATTATTTTAAAGGCTGCACTTTTTTTTTCACAGATTATTTTAATGTCACTGTTGTTCTAAATATGCATGACACACTATTTATTTTTCTTTTGGTCTAGAAACTTAGAAACTAGGAATGGCATTTATGAATGTTGTCTTGTTTTAATGCTTAATAATTCCTCCTTTGACCTAACTTTTTTTTAAATAAAAAGGTTTTTTAAATTGTAATTGCTATTTCAGTTTTACTACAGCACTATTTCATTAAATTACCCACACGTCCTTCAAACATGCTTATTAAAACTGTCCTCCAGAGACCTGATGTGGTCCTTTGGATCTCCAGCAGATGGGGACAAATATTAGAAATGTAGATTCTCAACTCCTTTTTATTTGAAGTGGGAAAAAAGTGAAAAGATAATGAAAGTATAAGCCAATATTGCATTTCATTGTTTTATTATTGGTATTTTCAGATGGAGAAGAGGACGCATTAATGAATGACTTAATGGTGGACTGGTTTACCCTCATCAGAAACAAGCAGGTCTACATGAGACGGGAGTCTGAGCTTGTTTATATGTAAGAGTGCATAATCTCTCTGCATTGCTGCGTTAATGTTGACTCCTCAGTATTCAAGACTTCTTCTTTGTGTTGTTTTTTTTCTGTGATTGGGCTATGATAGTGCCAGGACGCAGGATCTTGAGGAAGAGCAGCCCAGTGTTGATGCCGAACTCCGGAGACTTATGGAGAAACCAGGTTAGCATCACACTGAACAAGTCTATCTTTTTTTTGTTTGCATTAAGCAACAAAAAAATAAATGCGGTTTGCATTTTTTTTTCTGTTTCTGAGCTTCTTCTAAAAAAAAATTATAAATAGGCAAACGATTGGCAGTTTTCTTTCTGGGTGGAGCTATATATATATATATATATATATATATATATATATATATATATATATATATATATATATATATATATATATATATATATATTAAAAGATCAAATGATTTCTAGAACTCTTGAGCAGCCTAGGGCGAAAAATCACATCCTGACCCGAAACATTTACAGACCATTTACATAAAGAAATATTAGATTTATTTGATAAACTATAAATACATTTTTACAGTCACTTCTTAACTTTGGATTTCTGAAGTATTTGTGTAGATATTTTGTACTTTTTTAACACGGAACTACACCATAATTTGGTGTATTCAAAATTAAAAATATATATATTTAAAAATCACTAAAAAGGTGAACCTCAGTTGAATATAAAAGCTTTCTGGATATTGGTTTATATTTAGAAATAAAGCTGCCATCTGATATTAGAGAAAAAAAAATTATTGTTAAAAAAAAAAGAGGTTGCAATTTCCGCATATATCCAGCAGGGGTCAAGTTCTATTACTTGATGCTTTAGAAAACTTTTCCTAACAAACTGATGATATATCATCAATGTGGGCCGATTTAGGGTTAAACCAAGTGCCAGTAGCATCTGTATTTGGGCTTACTAATGCTAAGGATCTTTTGTAATAAACTAAAGCAGACCTATTAAATATGTCTGTTCAAGCATTTACTGATGTTTAATCTGTAGATCATCTAAAGACTTTATGGGATCGTAAACGAGAGGAAGAGCTGATGGCTAAACTGGTGGAGATTGTTAATGACCGTAATGCTATAGTGGAGGGTCTGGATGAAGACAGACTGAGGTGAGCATCATGGTTCTGTTTGATATTGCAATATTAAAGAGTTTTGTTTTTCTTCCTGTTTAAAGGTACTGTGTGATTTAAGATAAGATTGTGGTTTGATATAGTTGAATCTGATTGGAATTATATTGGATAAGAGTATATATCTTGGCTGGGGTTAGTGGAAGATATATAATATTGTTATTTTATTTAATTTTTTATTTATTTAAGCATTTTTTTAATTACATTTTATTTATTTTTACTTTTTATTTAGTTTTATTTACTTTATTTTTTATTATTTAAAAAAGTTTTATGTATATTACAATATTCATTTAACTTGAGTTTTTTTTTTATAATAATTTTTGGTATTTATTTATTTTTTTTGTTTGTTTGTTTAACCAGACTGTGCTTTTAAATATATGCAACAATGTTGTATCAGCAGAAGGGTTATGACTATTATTATATGTGTAACATTTTTACAATATATAAGTAAAATCTAATTCATTGATTGGTTTAATTTATTCGTAATTTATGCAGTGATCTTCACAATATAACTAGATGCTTTCAACCATAAAGTCTAGATTTTTATTTATTTGTATTCATTTACGCTTTCGTCAGTATACTATTATTTTATGGTCAACCAGACCACTGTTGTATACCTAAAATGACATTACAACACATGACATTTGTGACTTGCATCCATAGGGAGGAAGAGGAGGATGAGCAGCTGAATAAGATGATGCAGAGTTTTGGTAAGTATGTTTGTTACATTTAGAACCTGAGAATAAAAAATCCTTTTATTTTTCACCTTTATAAGCCTTTTAAATAATTGAAAATAATAATAATAATTTGCAATACATATTATTATAAGAATTTAACAATTATTGTCCCCACCATTCCTTCTGAAAGAGATCTCAAAAATATGACCGTTTCTTATTCTATAACAGATTACGCTTCCCTTGTTAGGACCTGATTACTGAGCACCAGCTGGCTCAGATTTTAAAGAGGCTGAAATTTGCAGCCAACTCCATTTATTATTGTCCATTCTGTTGGATGATTCGAAATGAACATCCTTTCCTGTTTGCAAATAATAAGCTGGCAACACCGAGACAGTTGTTTATTGTCACCATTTGTTCAGCGATGGCACGGAGGATCATTATTGGTCTGCTTTAGTGTCTGTTTGTACTCAACATAATAACATAAATAGATAGATTGAGTGTATAATTGTAAATCTGACCACACACACTATCTGATATGCTGAAGTTTTCCAATAAACTCATGGAGTAAATTGCACGGTATAAATGTTTGCATCATCAGTTTAATCACAGATCCTCCTAAAACTAGTTATTTCAGGAATAACTGACACAGGTGCAACTCGGAGTGCTGTGAATCTTGGGAATAATTGAGCTTTTTGCATGTTTGTATAATCCAAGCAGGAAAAGTAATGCAATGCCATTTTGTTTTAATGATCACTAATGGAAACCTCAGAATTGTAGCCTTAGCTAAAATGAGTTCTAATAAAATGTATAATTTACTAACCAAATTAAACCAATGCATGAATGTGGGAGCAAAAGTCATAACCATTTGCAATTCATGACAATAAATGCTGCCGGAAAGCTCTGGAAGCTGTTGCTGATGTTTAAATGAAACTGTGGTCACCATTAGTAAATGACCTCTTGGTCGTAAAGCTGTTAAAGGGATAGTTCAGCCAAAACATGATCAGTCTGTCATCATTTACTTACACCTCAGTGGTGCCAAACTTATTTGAGTTTCTTTTATATATGCTTTTATATATTTGTACTGTGTGGAGTTTGCATGTTCTCCCCGTGTTTGCGTGGGTTTCCTCCAGGTGCTCCGGTTTCCCTCAAGTCCAAAGATGGGGTACAGGTGAATTGTGTGAGCTAAATTGTCCATAGTGTATGTGAATGAGAGTATATGGATGTTTCCCAGTGATGCAGCTGGAAGAGCATCCGCTGCGTAAAAACGTATGCTCTAAAATTGGCGGTTCATTCCGCTGTGGCGACCCCTAGATTAATAAAGGGACTAAGCTGAAAAGAGAATGAATGTATATATTTGTACTGCACAATTCCTCTTACAGTAAAACACATTCAACTGGATTGTCCTGCTTTTAATGACTACAGAAGGCTTTTTTATGAAATGACCTCTCTTAAGGGCATTTTTACCAAAGTGTCACTGGGAAATGTAGAATTTTGGTCATGTATTACTCTAAAAATCTTATTTAATTAATGTTTTCATTTGTTTTAGTTTTTTTTTTCATTGTATATTTATTAATGTTTTTGCTGTTTATTAATGTTCTTGCCATGAAAATAGCCTTAGTTGCTGACATGGCGTTAAATAAAAATAAAATATCATCATTACATGGGTAAAATATACGAAAAAGAGCAATACAATGACATTGTCTGCATTTTGTTTCTTTTTTTTATCCACAAGTTCAAACTAGAACTAAACCAGCATTAGATAACCATCCCGCATATGTGAACCCCTTGAGAGGAAAGAGAAATCTTTAAAAATCACTGTTAGAGATGAAACTATATAACAGTAAAACTATATATTAAAGTATATGATCAAAGAAGTGTAATAAAAATAACCAGATAATACATTCATTTATTAATTTTCCTTCAGCTTAGTCCCTTTATTAATCAGGCAGAATGTACCGCCAACTTGCAGAGCATATATTTTACACAGCGGATGCCCTTCCAGCTGAAAACCAGTACTAGGAAACGTCCATACAAACTCATTCACACATGCACACTACGGCAAATTTAGTTAATTCATGTCCCATAGTGCATGTCTTTGGACTGTGGGGAAACCGGAGCACCCAGAGGAAACCCACACCAACACGGGGAGAACATACAAATTCAAACTGAAACGCCAACTGACCCTGCTGAGGCTCAAACCAGCGACCTTCTTGCTGTGAGGTGACCGTGCTAAACACTGAGCCACCATGTATGTAATTGTATGTTTATTAATGTTCTTGCTATTTATTAATGTTGACATTTTAGTTGCTGACATGGCGTTAAATAAAAAAAAATCTTCATCATTATAGTAAAATATATGAGTAAAATATAAAAAGAGCAATACGATGAAGAAACTTTGTCTACGTTTTGTTTTTTATGCACAAGTTCAGACTAGAACTGAACCAACATTAGGTAACCATCCCGCATATGTGAACTCCCTGAGAGGATGAGATGAAACTGAAAAATCTTTAAAAAACACAGTTGGAGATGAACAGAATAATCAGTGAAACTTATTTAAATAACCAGATTAATTGATCAGAAGGAAGGGGGGAAATAGTAAAATAAATAAATGTGAAAAAAATAAAAATAAAATGCATAACTGAGGAAAATATTTAGGGAAAGGGTCACAACCAAGTCATACAGCACAAGACAAGAACAAATGTCTCGTGTAAGCTTAATCAGAAACTGAGGTCAAAAAATGTATTACAAGTTTATCAGTGTTTAAAAATTTACGCTGGATGAAGTACTTTACTTATTCTAGGAGGAGGAATATAACACAAGATCTGTTAACCAAATGCTAGAAAGCTAAGAGTTTGTTTTAATACAGGGTGCAAAATGAAGATATTTTGAAGAATGTTGGAGACTGGTAGCCATTTTCTTTGTGTTGTTTTTTCTTACAATAGTTTCTGGCATTCTTCAAATTATCTTCATTTAGGTTTTACATAAAATGCTAGAAGGCTGAGTTTTTTAATGTAAAACCTAAATGAAGATATTTTAAAGAATGTTCAAGACCCATAGCCATTCTCTTCCATAGTGGTTTTTTCTTATTATGGTTTCCAGCATTCTTTAAATTATCTTCATTTGTGCTCGAGAAGGAAAAAAAGATTGTAAATGTTTGGAACTACATGAGAGTAAATGCTTATTTTTGAGTGAACTGTCTCTTTAAGTTTGTATTATGTTTTACCATTTGCAGATATGAAGAAGGAAAAGGTCAAGAAGATGTCTCCAGTAACTCGATGGTTTAGCATGAGAAAACGGAGGTCTTCAGAAGATTGATCGTCTTGTAGTTTTTGTTTTTGTGTGTCTTCCAGAACAATGTTTCTGCCACAGTTTGAGGTCAGATCTCAAAATATAAACTGCAGTCACACGCTCTTCAAAACATGGTGTTTTTGTGAAATGCCATCATTACTCATTTTCACACTCTTCATTTCACATACGTTTGCACTTGTTTTGTTGTTCAGACCTCTGTCTGTTGTCTTTATGGGTGTGATTTTTGTCATTTGTTAGCAAACGCTTTTGCACTTGAATCTTCTGAATAATGTCTCTCAGTCAGTGTTCCATTAGGGAGTTGGACAGTGTCGAGAGAGAGTCTTACTGATTCACATTGGATCAATGCTGAAAATGGACAGGTTGAGGTCTGATCTCAAATATATTCTAATACAGAGAATTGACTTTTTATTATAAATGTTTTTGTAAATAGAAACAATCATATTTTAGCGCTTTTAAAAGGCATCGTTTTAATTGTGTTTTATGCTGCACTTCTCCTGTGTGAGCTGCAGGGGGCAGACTGCGACCAACTTCATTGTTTGCCATCTTAAATTCTCAACAGACTTGAGTAATGAGAATCTTTTTTTTCTCATCTAAGAAATGTAAGATTTAAGAGTGAGATGTTGCTCCGTATGCATTTAACCACAGCCCATAGCTTTTAAATCATGTAAATATTTTTTCATGTGACTTGTTTTTTCAAAATTGAGTTGTCTGCTTGTGGTGTTTACTTTTTTTGATTTAAATGTTCCTTTATTCGCTCTCTTTTTGTTATATTTGGTGTGTAACAAGCTGTTTATAATTTAAAGGTCTCTATATTTTTTATCCAGCACCCAGCACTTAATTGCAAACATTTATGCTGTGTACTGTCATTCACTTTGCTGTGAATACATATTTAAAATCAATTGAAATGACTTTTTTTTTTCTTCTTCTTCTTCTTCTTCTTTTTTTTATTCCATTCACAGTTATTTAATGTATATGATGAGTTCACCTTTTCTCCAATGCAGCTTTTTTGTTCTTTTTAGTTGCATCTTCTTTTCCATAAGCAAGGCACACATTTAGTGATTTCCATTCACTATTAGGTTCTCTCTCATATGCAAACTTCAGAAGTTTAAAAAAAATGCACCCCTTAAGGAATCTCTTAATTTACAACTTAAATTAATCTGTTAAAAATATAAGTAAATATAAGTTTTTACTTTTAAATTTAGGCGCTTGTTTCTGCCACCTTTTGTTTTTCTACACTTAATGCTAAAAAAAAGTGTGTGTGCATGCATGTATGTTTATGTATGCATGTTTATATAAATATGTGTGTGTGTGTGTGTGTGTGTGCGTGTGCGTGTGCGTGTGCGTGTGCGCGTGTGTGTGTGTGTGTGTGTGTGTGTGTGTGTGTGTGTGTGTGTATATATATATATATATATATATATATATATATATATATATATATATATTGTGTGTGTGTATATATATTGTGTGTGTGTGTATAGAGAGAGATTTATTTATATATGTATTTATCTATTTAGAGATTTATTTATTTAGATATTTATGTATTATTTTAGATATTTTTTATTTAATTTGATATTTATTTGCATAGTTAGAGATTTTTAAAATTAGATATTTATTTAGATATTCAGATTTACTTTATTTATTTAGATATTTCTATTAATTTAGATATTTATTTATTTTAGATATTCTTTTAAAGAATTACATAATGCATTATATTTTTATTTTATTTTTTTAATGCATTTTATCCATCCATCCATCCATCCATCCAGTTTCAGTTAAAATGGTTGTATAGGTCAGCGCTAGTGGTGAGTGTGTTGATCCACATGTATTCCGGTGCTCATGGCGACCCGAGTTCGATTCCCACCTCGCGGTCATACGCCGATCCTTCCCCTCACTCTGCTCCCCATACTTTCATGTCAGTACTCTCTACTGTCCTATACAATAAAGGTAAAACCCCCTAAAAAATATTATTACAGAAAATGGTTCTATAGTATAATATCCAAGTTTATATTATATCTAAAATGCAATTCTTTATATAAAAGTATACCAGTAATACAGTAAGAAGTTCAGGATCATAGTTTAAACGACACGTCATTTGAAGTGTTAATATTGAGTTCTATTTCTATTGTGTATATTTAAGGCATCATAACTCCAGCCTTCAGTATCACATGATCTTTCACAAATCATTCTAATATGATTGTTTGCTGCTCAAGAAACATTTAAGTTTTTACTGTCAATTTTGTTTAGTGTAAATTTGTCAATTAAAAAATATAATTATCTATACTTATATTTACTTTAAAAAAAAAGAACTCATACCAAGATCTATGAATATAGCCATTAGAATAACTTTCTATATAATGTTTAAATAATGTGATTCTTGTAACTTATAGTGTAAACTTCTAGAAAAATAATACAGCTGTACTATTGACTCAAAATGCCTTCAAGGCATAGTTCCCCAAAAACTGAAAATTGTCATCATTCACTCACCCTTTACTTGTAGCAAACCTGTTTGACTTCTGTTGAACACAAAAGAAGATACTTTAAAGAAAGCTGAAAACCTGTAACCATGGACTTCCTCAGTATCAGTTTTTCCTACAATGGAAGCCAATGGTTACAGGTTTTCAGCTTTCTTTAAAGTATCTTCTTTAGTGTTTAACCTAATAAAGAAACTCTGAAATCACTTGAGGGTGAGTAAACAATACATTTCAACTTTTGGGTAAACTATCCCTTTAACAACTGAGTCAACACCTTTGAAAAACATCTAGCTGTGCAGAATCCCATAATAACCTTAAGTCCTGGTCTTATTTTGGGGATTCCCTGTGAAAGTCTCTGTACACACTCCTTGTCTGTGTACTCTCTCACCTGGCCGTCTTAATAATGCATGTTAGCATTCGTGCGTCCAGCAGTACGTTGTGGGCTTCTCATGCATACAGATTTATTCCGCTTCTGTCTGTGTTTGGCTTTGTTGCTCGTTGGAGAAATCTGCTACGACACAGATTACAGAGCATGCGAGAGCACAAGAATAGCAATGCTAACATATGCTAATGTATGTGTTGACGCTCTGTCGGCGCTGATACGGCGAGTGGATTACCTGTGTTTCCTTCCATCTGATCCACAAGCGAAGGACGTCCCGCTGGGCTTTACATGCGCCTCTGCTTTTGATATGCATTTATGCTAAGAGTGTTTGTTTGGTGCTGATTCAATTGAGCCATGAATGTCGGTTTGCTCGAGTGATGCTGGATAGTTTGCGCCGATTATTTCGCTTGTAAAAACGAGGATTGTCGTCATTTGCTTACTTTCATTTTGTTCCACGCTTGTTTTTTTCCCTTTGTTGATCAGGGAAAAAAAGATGTTTAGCAGAATGTTAATGCTGCTCTTAAAGTGAACGCATTCTGAAGCTCTACTTTAAAATCTAAGTATTTTTGTAATTATTGAAGAAAGGAATTTTTAATTGATTATACAGTATACACACTTTAAAGTAATACGTAGGCATACTACATATTGGGGAATGTTACTTTTCAAAGTAATGCATTACAATATTAAGTTACTTTCCTAAAAAGTAACTAGTTGCACTACTTGGTTTTTATGGAAAGTAATGCGTTACGTTACTTTTGCGTTACTTTTTCTGACCAGGCTGAAGCTTGATCTTTTTCAGACGTTGCAGGGATTTTTTTAAATAAAGGAGCTCTGCAAATAACAGCACCATATATAACATTTACACCTTTATTTACTTAAAAAAAAAAAACACATTGCAAAATAATAATGTCCATCGCTCTCCACTTTTCGTGCGCGACACCTCTACATCCTCGGGCAAAATGCTGGATCCATTACTCTGATCTGTTCCGGGACCTCGCAATTCACAATTAAGCACTGATTATATTGAACATCATATAGGCTAGAGTAGTTATACTGACACTGTTAAACATTTTTTTGAATGCACAATGTGTTCACTATGAAAGGTAGCCTCACTCTTTTTATTCATCATTTTGCCGCAGCTCCGCTCTTTTTATTTTTTTTTCTTGCAGTCCCGTGAGCAAAATGTAGCCTGCAGGTTAATCATTGTACCCCAAACAGCGGCACCTTTGTGAAAATAAGAGTTAGAATAATTATTATTAATGAATATTACACCTGCTCAATGAAAATCAGATGATTCACTATAATAAATCTGACATAACTTGATCAGAAATTTAAAAAGGGGAGAAAAAGATTGAGCCATCAATAGTAAGTAAAACTGTGGTTATAAGAGTTGCAGATGATAGCGCAGTACTTATTTTTTATTCCAAACACACCAGAAGAACCATTTTGGTCCAGTGGTCAGCACTTTGTGTTATGATGCCACTGACCCAAGTTTAATCCTCATCTGAGTAATTTTTTTTAAGACATATAATACTGTTTGGGTTACTTATATAGGTGTACATTTTTTGTTTGTTTGTTTTTTTTGTATGACCACCGTGGATATCTATAAAGAATTTTGCACAGAATATATATTCAGATATTGCAGGAAAGGACATTGTGACGTTTTAAAGAATACTGTTGGAGATTTAGCTACCCTTTAATGTTCTCATATTTCTGAAAAACATTTGGGCCCAGTTTCACAATCAGGGCTTAGGTTAAGCCAGGACTAGGCCTTAGTTAAATTAGGCTATTTAAGACACATTTATAAAAATGGCCTTAAAAAAACATTACTGGTGTGCACCTGCAGACAAAAAAATGACACTGACTTATTTTAAGACATCTCTCCGCAAGTTTTTTTGAGTTGAGACAGCTCAAACATGCAATTTAATCTTGACTAGCCTTAAACCTTGTTTGTGAAATCGGGGGTTGAAGTTCTAAAGCAGCTGTTTCCTTGAAAAAGACGTGGTAGTGTCATTATAAACTGAATTGGAAATGACTTTATTTTAATGTAGTCAGTCATGAACAGGTGGGCTGGTCTAAGGCTTGAAACTCCAGGGCTGAAAAAGAGTCCCACTCCAGTGTAATCATAACTTTTACAATGTGATATGATCATTTAAATGATGTGCACTGTTTTGGTTTCACTTTCTCTGCCGAGCGCGGCTCATGTCATGGCTGCTGTCACATTGTTCAGTTTGTTCAGTAGTAAACAAACAGTCCGTCAGCTCGTGTGATTTTGCAGCCACGACTGCACTGCATGAAGACAGAAATTAAATTTTGGTAGAATTATACCTTATAAATACAGTTTGTGACACTTAACGCCATTTGGAGGGGTCCTTGTTGCTGAGCAACAAATATAATTCAATGTGAAGACTTGTGGGACTGCCTGTATGCTTCTCTCCTGACTGTGAAAATGTAATTGGCCGAATTGTAGAAAAGCTGAATTAAGATCGTGTTGGGTCGAATCGAGATCACAACATTTTTCCGATTAATCGTGCAGCTCTAGAAGTTTTGCACATTCACAGAAAAAAAGCTTATGTGTCTGCATTGCAAAGGTAGACAAAACCTTCTGAATTAAAGGAAAATGATTTAAGAAAGAACGCTGTGGAAAAAATGCTGGGTTCCACATGATCAATTTGTGTTCGTACAACAGGAAGGAATTAAGTTAGCTTATTCATTTTTACGAATTTAAGTGGATTGAACGTAATTAAGTAATCTCCAAAAAACTCGATTCAAGAATTCACGCTTAGCTGATGGTTGATAATAAAGTGTGTTTGGCATGCTATCCCGGGAGAGAGCCCTGACCTCAGAATATCCTTGAGCTCGGGGCTCCCTCTCGTTTGAAGGGTGAGAGGAGAGTTTGAGCTCAGGTGGGTCTCGAACTCCCCCTACTTGTGAACTGATGTATCTGACTAAAAGTTGCTTTAGGATGCTATTTGAAGAAGTTAATTTACTTATGGTGTATGTTTTTTTTTTGGACGGTGGGAGGAAACCGGAGAAAAATGCACGTG